CTCTCTCATCTCTTTATTACTACTCTGTACCATGTTTTGTTATTATGCTTATTTTACAGTTTAGGACATTTAACAATGTATCAGCAATTTTTCTTTAACACTCTCTGGTCAAGATTTCTACATACCCAAAACATGAGTCTCACTTATAATCCAAGTAACCTACATCAAAAATTGTCCCAGGGTTTTTGTGAAAAGCATTGTGAAGGCTTTCAGTTTGTTTGCAATGAACAAGAGAAGGTGTGGTGGCTGGTCTTGCTCCTGACAGCCCTGAACCTGTCACAGCCATCCCCTGCTTCATTGTGTTTGGTTGTTAAGTATCTGAGTGAGAGTTCTGCAAATGTGAAAGCAATTGATTACTCACTTGGCTGTGTCAAATACAGTAATTGGCAATATAAATTGTATGCAGAATTACTCCTTACAGGTTTTGAACATTCAGCCCTCCAGCTACAGTTTGTGGGATTGCTGCCAAATCCTTCTCTCCTGCTGTTGACAGCTTGAGGAAAATGCTGTGCAGAGTTCTTCACACTACATTCTCTCCTGTCCCAGACACTATCTAGAAATCTAGATAGCTCAGTGTTGAAAGATGGCTCAAACTTTCTCCTGCTTTCTTCCATTTTGAAGAGAACACAAACCAAAACAGTGTAAGACAGAAACTTTAAAAGATCCCAAACACACCACCACAAGATATCGAATTCAGCAAAGCACTACTGCATTCCTTGCAAACAAAAATGTTGTGCATGCTATGAATTTATATAATGTCAAGTGACAAAACAAACAGAAAACAAATCCATTGCAAGTTACTAAAGACTGTGAATCTAACTCTGACTCAGGACACTCCTGAGCTTCAAAACTGTTGGAGGTTGCAAGTGCATTTAGAGCAGCTAGCATTTATGATACTTGTTGCTTTTACAGCATTTTTTAGGCATTAACTTTTACCTACTGCTGGTTAAAATACTTGGCTGACCTAGTGCGGTCATTCTTATGCTCTCCATCACAATGAACATAATTTCCCTGTCACTGAGTCTTCCTACAATTATCCTGTTACCTACTTACCTGGGTTTCATTCCAAAGTTGTGTGTATGCACCCATAAAACACTGCTGAAACCTTCAGCATTGATCTCACACAGTATTTACCTTCTCTTCCCTATTAATCAAGCCCAAGACTAAACAGGTGCCTTGGTTGTAACTCACATCATCTCACCTGCCTTTCATTTCTGCAGCAAGAGGACTTTGCTAGCAAAACCCACAACAGCTTTTAGGAAGTAGATTTTCACATCCAGAGAAGTGCAAATCCTGGAGGTTATATTAATTCCATTGAATTAACAGTGAGCTAGGCACAGGAAAAAAAACAGGAATAACAATACATGCAGACTACTGGCAAAGTGTGCTCTTCTACTGCTTGCTACCACAGACACTTGCTACAGAACAGGGATCAAGACAAAGAATTAAGTTCTGACAAAAATTTAAAGATACAATAAAATAAACAGGACCTTACAGGGGGACATGCTCTGCTTAGAGAAGTTACCTGGTCCAGCACAGCAGCAAGCTGATGAAGCTGAATGGCCTGACACATGCAGAGACATCAGATCATCATTTGGCCTTAAACATCATAATCAGGCCCTGCTAGTTCCTGAAAACAGGAGGAGCCTGTCCCTGCAAACACAAGGCCATCGGTGCTATCTCCAGCAGATAACAGCACCTCTGTCATGGGACACATTAACTCTTCCATTCAGTATACCTACAAAATAATTTGAAAGCATTCTTTGAGAAGTTAAAAAAATGTATCCTTTTCTGGTTTAGCTTTACATTTTATGGAAGAGTACATCCTGAACTGACAGCAGGGAGTGAGATTTTGCAATCACCTGTTAAAATCCAGACACATTTTATCATTAGCATTTAGCATTGCCCCATGGTATTGCTGGGCTAAACCCCTGCTCTGAGGACAAAAGGGCCACAGCTGTGCTTGAGCACAGACTAAATGGGAAAATGCAACTCTAGAACCTGTGAGTGACTTTGTAGAAAAAACCTGAGAGGACCTGTCACAGCCCTTCACTCTACAGACCACTGTCTTGGTCATAAAGACAGCCCCTGGGACAGGGACTCTTACCTAGACCTCCAGGCAGCTCTGACCCATTCTGAAAGCACTTGCTGGGCTGGAGCTGCTGTTCATAACTTTTTGCCAGGGCAAAGGCTCTGCAAATTGCTTGATGAGAAATAGTGCAATTCCTTCTGTAACAGTCAATAAAAAGAGAAGTCATTTGACTGAACTTTTACCCTCCATAGGGCAAGCTTCTACCCAAACCATTAAGTGTTCTGGAAAATACCGAGAATCAGGCAGAAGGGGAGGAGATCCCCTGGCAAGATCCTTCTTTGTGATTTCACTGAGCGGAAGCTCACTGCCCACACAAGGGCAGCCTCTCCTAAAATAAGCACTACATCCTCTATCTATTCACTTAGGGCTTCTGGGTGAAAAACTGGCCCTGTTGAAATCACAGGCTAACTCCTATAGACCTAAATGACCTTAATGGAGACCCTAAGGTCTCCTAAACCACGTGGACATTAAGGTCTGTGTCTGTATCAGAAATACTGATGAAACCAACAGCTGAAAGGATACTGGCAACTCATGGAGGAATTTCCATGAAAGACTACACAAGCACCAAAGCATTGTAGCAAGGGAGCTCCTATTTCTCTCCCATTCCTCTTTTTAGTCCTTCTAAGGGATCACAGAGAGGGGGAAAAGCACAGGAACTGCTATGTCCCTTCTCCAAGTAAGCCTCACCCAAGATTTCTCAGAGAGGGCATAAGAAAGCAAGGCATCTCACTGGGTCTCACCAGAGATCCAGCTACTGCTTATGTCTCCAGCTCTGGGAGACACTACTTCAGGATAGCATACAAACCTGGCCACTTGCTCCAGTACCTATCCCAAGAATTGCTCAGCATCAATGGCCTTGAATTAGGGATGGTATACAGTAAATTTCTGCCTACTCCCTTCAGTATTTGCTTAAGGACCTCTAGCCCATTATTTTTTCCACTCCCACTTTGAAGCAATTGATCCTATTATCCCCCAGAACCTTCTGCATCAAATTCTAGTAGGTCACCATTCATTGTGTAAAGAAGTGCTATTCTGTTCTCTTTGTTAAACCACTTTCTCCTTAGTTTGCATGTCTTGCAGTTCTGGCACTGCATGATCTAGAGAACAGCAGTTCTGCATCTGTTGTCTGCTATCAACTGCCTTCACAATTTGGAAAACATCAGTCACATCCCCTCCTCCTTCAGAATTCTCTCTCCAAACTGGAAAGTCGCAGACATTTCCATTTTTCCTGTTTTTCAGTCCTCCTTCTCTGTATCTGTTCTAATTATCCTTCTGGCAATACAGACACACAAACCATACCCAATAGGCAAAATGTGTGTGCACTGAAGTTTTGCACAGTGGAAAAAATCATGCTTTCTGGTTTATTCACAAGACAGCACTGAGACAGGCCTGACATTATTCTGAATAAATATGCCTGGCACCACCTCCAAGAAATTTATGTCATGGGCCTGTCAAAGCTCTCCTCCTCCTCTGTCTTCAATCTTTTCTTCACCCTCCTACTGCATGCTCACATTCCTCCAAGCCAAGTCCACACTGCTCTCCCATTTTTCTGCTACACCCCCACCTTCCAAGCCTCCCTTTCCAATCTAGATAGGCATTCTGCAACCACTGATTTACTGTGCACAAAACACTACTGAACATGCTGTGAAAAAGATAAGGGAGATCTGCACCACTGCCTCATCCCATAGCAGCTACCAAGAGACATCTGCATTTGCATTGCTGTTGGGAGCAGTTGTTATCATGTGTGTAATGTAAAGACATATTCTTTGCATCTATCTCTGCTTGACCTTCTGTGTGCAAGTTTGGTAGATCCAAGCCCACCTGCCTGTACCTAACACAGTGGATCAGAGTTGCTGAGACTAGATGCACTTCCACATCTCAGACACAGAGCCTGCACCCTACAATCTTGCCTTCAGTGCTGAACATCAGCACCCAGATGAGTCAAAGCACCATTGCTGCTCAAGAAAAGGGATGTAGGGAAGAATACTATCAAGCTTCACATCTCCTTCCCAGCTTCTTTTGTGTTCCACAGAAAGTTCACTATTTTCACAGCCATTTTGCCAAGTGTGTGGTGAAAAAGGCACTAATCAGGATGAATCATGCAGACTCTGGTTCTGTATTAAAAGGAAAGTTTTTAGGCATGAATTTAGATTTCCACAGTGAGCAGCTTGGGAATGGTGTTTCTTTAGGAAACAACTGAAGCACTATTGTCAAAACTGCACAGATTTTGCCTGTCCCCCTTGTCTCTGCCTTTAGGTCACTGCTGGCCTTGCTTGTGCCTTTACAGCTAGGGCTTCCCATGATCTGCTGTTTCTAAGGATAACTTTTACTGGCTCCTTTCATGTTAATGTGTATTTTGACATCATCTTAAGCAAGAATCACTAGGGGGATTTAGTAAAAAAAAATCTTTGGGTAGTTTTATTTCACAGTGGAAATCTGTAAAGCATATTTATCATCAGCTTATATTTTACATGAAGGGTCTGATTTGGCTCACCACAAAATAATAGAATTCTGACATTGATTTAATAATGATTAAACACTTAAAAAATACCTCAGCAGTCCTAGAACTAACTAGATTACAACCCCAGACACTTTCTGAATAACATTTAAAATAAAAGGTTCCACAAATAAACCTCAAGATCTTAAATTAAATTAATTAGAAATGCAATAGTGATTCTATTACTGAAGGTAGAGATTTTATGGCAGTATCAGTGAAAGGACAACATTTTCCAACCATTTCCACAAGCAGACAAATTGTATTAAAAACATTCACACTGTAGAGTAATACAAAATAAAATATCATCTGATCAGCTCAAGAAATGCTGATTTATACATCTGAATTAACAAAATTTCTCTGTACAGTTGCAGTGAGACTGCAATTTTACAAACTGATACTCAGTTGAACCTATTTATAAGACAAATCATACACTATGTACAAACTTAGTTCTCCACGGAACTCTGCTGAGCATGCTTCAATACAAATGATTTACCAGTTTCTAGTAGAGGATGGTAGCTTTTCCTTGAATTTAAAACCCTAAATACTTAACAAAACCTGAAAAAAATCCATTTGCTATCACATGGTGCTGTTGTTAAGTCACTTGTTTGTTACCGTATGTTATGGAAGAGTAGAACCAGTCACAACAATAAATAAATTTGCTTCTTATCAACTAAAGATTTATATTCATGTGATCACACTTTCAGCCTGAGTGCTTTTACTAGACTGTAGGATCCATTTATCTTTGCTCTTCTTGACACGTAGATCAGAATTGCAACTCCTGGTACTGCTATTGCTGTTACAGAGGAGAATGCAATAATCAATGGTATCATTTGATCTGGCTCTTCCAATCTTGCTGTAAATGGAAACAAAAGGAGAAAAAAGTTGTGTAACAATTGATTGAAACAGATACACATACATCACTGTAAGCGCAGTGTTATTAACAACCTACACTTGGAACACTACTTATGACTTAATGCACAAAGCACATTTCCAAATGTTTTTCTTATACTTCTTTCTTTTGTGACTTCATATTACACACTTTAATTTCTAGCCACTATCTTGGTCTTGGATTTGCTATGCAAGTTCAAACCCATCTGATACCATCTGCAATGAAGAATACCATGAAATTAATGAAGAATACAAGAGGAATACCACATATTTTACCCAGGAAACATTTGGGTACATTTCAGCCTGCTGAAAACAATGCCTCAAGGGGAAGACCATGTTTAAAAAGCCAAATCTTTAGATATTTTTGTGAAACAGAACTTTCTCTGGATTAGTCTCACTGTTCATGCATGTGGAGAGAAATGCAGCCAGCATCCACCTTCTTCTGGTGTTATCATTAAAGCTACTCTACCAGCTTGGGTAAGAGAGACAATAACATCCACACTGAAAGGAGGATAACTGCAGTTTAGTCTCATCAGCTCCTCTATTGTTTGGGTTGATTTCGGGTGTGTTGGTTGGGATTTTTGCGGTTAACTGAAGTACTGTTGTGCAAGGATTAGCCATGAACTAGCTGTGCTCACCTTGACACAAAATTCAGTAGAAAGTACAAACAAAATTAGCTTAAGGTAGTACACCTACATACCTACTACAGCTATCTCAATCACTGTGATGTTATTTCCAATCTTATTGAAAACATGAAGCAAAGACGTGCCTGTATAATTTTGGTGACATTGCAGAGTATAAAGGTTTTATTCACTGATGGCAGAGCAGTTTTTCCTGATGGACTTTTTTCGGGACCACCTCTGATGGTGGGTTACTTTATGTGCTACATGTAATTGTGATACTTTAACATTTTCTGATGAATATACTAACACAGTGATAGTTTCAGGAGGAACTGAAAAGAAATGCAAGGTAAGATTTAGCAACAAGGAAAAACTCATGAGGTATAAGCAGCTTTTATACGCAGAATACTAATCCAGTTAATGCGCCCAATGAAATAGTTGAGCATGTAGCTTTAGACACTGCTCTGTCACCAGCTATCCTTCACACACTGAGACCAACAACTGCTGATAGAAAGAACATTTTATCAATTGATGGGGTATGTTGCGTATTTTTTACTTAACATGGAGCCTTTTCTTTTTTCTTACTTTAAATTCACTATTTATTCATTTGAGTTCATGATAGAACACAGACCAATGGACCTAGAGGTTGATGTCCTCTTTCAACAGAGGAGAAATAGAAAAGGCAAAGGAAGGAGTACTAAAATAGTTTGGGGTTTTTCACTAGGTTCCTCAATTTTACATCCTGTTTTCAAAGATGGAAGTGGAACTATGAAAAATTTTGAAGCAGCAATTATTCTGTGAGTCTGTCATTTCTGGACAGAAGTTTTCATTAGCATTAAGACCCTACCACTTATGACAAGAACTTCTGCAATTAATCTCAGTTATTTTAATGATAATTCATCCTTAATGAAACTGAACATGTCACTCTGTCTAAAACAAATCCTAGTATGAACTCTGTACAGTAGTTATTTAAACTAACCTTTGACATAAAGTACTGTGTGCTAAGCCTGCTCTCCCACTTCATTAATGGTATGCATGTGCCTTTCCTGTGTCCTTTAGCTGAGCCTTCTCTATGGTATATTTGCCATCTACTGTTTCAAGGGTTGTGAACCCATCACCTCTTTTCTTTTACAGAGTACTCTGAAGGGATGTAACAGATGTGCAGGGGATGGTAACTCTTTCTCCTTGAATCACTGCACTTAAAGGGGAAATCAAAAGTGTATTTTTTGGTGCAGCTACAAAAATAGAGAAGGATAGGGGAAAAAACTGGGTTAGTGGCAGAAGTGATCCCGAAGCAATACACTGTTGCTATGCAATAGACAGAAGCAGTAGGGCTAAAGTAGAGAAGTCTGCTCACTCCTGAAATCTAAACTTCACTATTGTTGCATATAAATTGAGGAATCAGCATTTGCTATAGCTTAAATGCAGCTTGCAAGAGCAGAGTTGGAACTTAGAGGAGAGCCAAGGAGCTGCAATACTGTGCTTCCACAGAGATGTTTCAGCATGTGGTTTCTCTTTGAATCTTTCATGTGCAGATAGCCACTGAGACCTATTTGGAAGAAAATACAGGCACTGCATAGTGTCTAAGCCTCGTGCATACATTTGCCAATTGGAAGGAGTGATGGAAGCTCAGCTGACATAAGAACTTCACATAAGCTATCTGTGCTAGGGCAGATCTCACACTTCATGGTTTAAAGCTTCCTAAATGACTTAATGACATTAGGACCTCCTTGTAACTCCTTTGGCATCAAAGACAGAATTACCTCATCCTTCACAGAAGGAGATCTGGACCTAAAATACATAAAACAAAAAACTTGTTTTCTGTTTTGTTCTACAAACCTTGAAGAAGTAATTTCACAGCTTTTGCTTCTTTGCCAAATTGGTTATAAGCTTCACATTCATAAAGCCCCAGATCTTGAGTTTTTATGTTCTGTATAGTTAAAGTTGCATTTTTGAAACTTTTCGCAGACTCCCCAGTGGCTTCCTTTTTCTTCCAAGAGATCACAGGAGATGGATTACCAGAACTAGTACATTTCATTGTCACAGTTTCTCCTTCTTTAACAGCAGTAGTAGGGATGACAGAGATCATTGTGTTCTTCGGCCCATCTGAAAGGAAGAGTCCTACAGTTAATCATTACTGGATTTTTTAGAGATGGATCCAACATGTCCTACTGGATGGCAGGTTGTCAGCCTCCCAAAGTTAGCTTCTTTTTAATTTTCATAAAAAGCAAAGCACAATCTACCAGAGTTCCATACAAACCCTCCACAGCCTAAACATATGAACCAAGTACTTCTAACCAAGAACGTTAAGAGGCAGGTAAGTTTCTCACTCATCCAGATCCTGACTGTCATTGCACTAAAGATTTCAAGACTTTGTTTCGGTCATCAGCACTGCTCCTTTCTTTCAGCAGAGGTCTATGCTGATTTTTTTTTGTACTCACAGGGTTTTGTTTAATTTGATGATAACATTTACCACTGAAGGAAGTGAAGAATTAACTATTTTTAAATGACTAGGAAAACTTTACACATACTTACATTCCACATTAAGTGTTATTTCACTTTTACTTTTCCCAAACTTATTTTCTGCTACACATTCATAGTCTCCTCCACTTAGGAATGTCACAGATGGAAGAAGGAGAATACTCCCCTCACTGTAAGGACCAATGTCAGCACTGTCAGATTTTCTCCTTAAAATAATCTTAGGAGGAGGGTTACTCTCAGCAGAACATTTTACAGAAACATTTTCTCCTTCTTGAACTGTTCTAGAAGGCTCAATGGAGAGTTCTGTAACATTTGGAGCACCTGCATGACAAAAGAAAAATGTGTTACAGTGATGCAAAAGTTCTAAAGATGGAGAGGGTTTTAAGGAAACAGGAATTGCTCGCCCAAGGATATGTTCATTTTGGTTTTGATCCCAGATTCCATCTGAGACTTTTGGCTCTATTGAAACAGTAGTAGCCGAAATAATACAACAACATTATTAAATGGCCAAATAGTTTTACTATTAAGTGATTATTAAATTTATTACTAATGACTAAAACTAGTTCAAAGGACACTGTGATGTCCCTGTGAAATATTTCAAGGAAATAACACTGCGCCCTCCCATCATGTTCTCAGATTCTTTTATCACTTTGGGCGTTGCACTGTGGGAAGTGTCCTAGATCAGGTTGCTCAAGGCATCATCCAGCCTGGCCTTGAACACTGCCAGGGTCAGGGCAGCCACAACATCCCTGGGCAACCTGAATATATAACAAGGAAGGCCCCACAATTTCCTAATTTTCAGTGTTTCAGCATCTTCCAGCCTAACAGGCAGCTGTTAGTTGGGTAGTGAGTAATACAAGCTAAATTCAAGCAGACTTGTACCTTGTATAACAATGTCCACAGTTGCCTTCTCTGTTTTATTAGTTACCAGATTAATTACTTCACAGACGTACAGTCCTGAATCACTGAAATGGGCATGGGGAATAGAAAGGACACTGGTTTTTGTCAGATGCTGAATGCTTTTGTCAGCTGAATGTTTTCTCCACACTATTTGTGGTGGCGGGTTACAGTCAGTCATACAAGTGAGGTTTAGAGAGTCTCCTTCCATTGGGGAGTTGCCAGGAGATGCAATAATGATAGTATTTTGTGGACCAACTAGAAGAGAACAGAAGAAAGACAAGATCACTAAGTTAATGAAGAATGACACGCACATCTTCAACACTAGCTCCTCTAGAGGTACATTTGACAGAATGCCAAAAAAGAAATGAGTAATATGTATTCCAGTAACACAGTGGAACAATTTTTCCAGATTTAATACAACACTTTGTTTGCAGCTTTGAAAGCTAAGCTATAAAAAAAATATGTATAATTTATTTTTTTTTTACTCTTTAGTTTTGGTCTCCTTATTGTTTATGACTATAAACTTGGAATTCCTAAGTATAGGATAGCAATTTTAAAAACATTTGCTTATCTGCATGATGTCATTTTTCTTCTGGTCTTTACTTTCTGACTGAGCCGCAGTGCCCAAAGTAAGAGAATGAGAGGAGTTACTAAAACATTGCCTAACTTCTGTCATGAACAACAATGGGTATTTAATGACTCAGTGTTTGCTACTGAATACAACAGAATTCAGCTGAATACAACAGATCATTTACATAAATAATATAGATAAGAAGTGCAGATTATAAACTATTTATAGCACACACTTTGTAAACCCATTCCAGGAAACTTAACATACTTTGTGTGAAATACCTACAGTTTGGATTCAGTTTCTGGGAAGATACTCTTTCTTTGGGTTCAAAGTCCATATCAGGCATGGGTAGCTTGGCCACACAGGCAATTTCTTTCCCAATATCTTCAGCCGTGAGATTAAATGAATATGTCACAATTTTAGTCTCTGTATTTGTACTATCATCTTCATAAAAATTTTTCTCATGAAGAACATGTTCCTCTTTCTTTAAGAGTACTTCCAAATGATCAGAAGGATACACATCAGGAATTTTACAGGTGACAGTGACTGGTTCTCCAGCAACTGAGGACGGACTGATCTCAATAACAGGGTCACTGGGAAAAGCTGAAAGAATAAAATCAATTCTTTAGACTGGCAGAGATGAATTCCAGGGTGAACATAAGAGCAAGATCCAGACATTAAGCATGTTGAGTTTAGAGATGTTCATAACATGATGTTCTGTCAACTTTATTACAAGACATACCTTGATATGAAGACACACAGATCTTTTATAAGCAGTTCATACACTATCAGGAATTTTATTTGTACAGTTAATGAAATATAATTACAAAAGATCTACTAAGATCCAGCAAGGCACCTAGGCAGTGACACAGCAGCCTAAATATAGACATCCAGAGCAATCCCTACACTGGTCTTATCCTGTTTTCTGTGCTGGTAGGTTTAGACATCTGAATTATTCCCCTGCAAACTGCAAAGGCTTTGATTTATTTTTTTCCCAGCTTTATGAGTGCATTGGGGAGTGAATGTTTTGGCTTTCAAGCATTACCAAGAATAAGAATAAATAAGACTAGCACATACTATCCTCAGTGCACAAAGCTAAGCAGAAAAGGGCTGAGAAAGTGTCCTGAACAGCCAGATAAAGGAATCTTACAAGGAAATATATGTTGAGCTATAGCAGACTTGCTATCCTAGAATTACAAGTTAACGACCAACCACCATATCTAAAACAATTAGTGGTTTTTTTATAAACATGTACTATTAAAAGAGAATTTTACAGTTTTACTTACAGTAAAGTTCAACTTTGACACTCTTCTCTTTTTTCTCTTTCTCATCACAGACGACAGTACACAGATAAGCATGAGAGTTTGCAATGCTAACTGGATTCATAGTCAAGGTAGAGTATGTCCTATAGTTGTCCACTGTTCCTCCCAGGGGGTTGTCCATCTGGGTTCTCCAGGAAAAACTTGGTGATGCACAGCCAGTAGTATTGCATGTGAGCATATGTGTTTCCCCAATCTGTGCAACCATTCTCGTAGCAGGTATAATCTCCATTTCAAAAGCTTTAACTACAATAAGGAGAACATAAATAAGCTCAGCAGCTTTCTCACCATTTATTTTCCTATTTTTTCTCATGTTCTACTGTGCCATGAAGTCTTTACTTTCCAAGTTTACTTAAAGTTGTGTGAAGTTCAACTAATATAGCACATACAGTGGTTTACATCTCCAAAATACCCCATAAATATTGCTATTTTTGTCAAGAATAATACAGACTCAGATGACTAACAGACAGATCTTATATGAAATGGCATAAACCCAGTGCTGTCAGTGAAAATAAATGCATTGGCACAATATAACTTTTTTTTTTTTTGGTCAGGTGGATGTGGTTCTAAACCTCTGCAACACTTGAGGGGAGAGGTAGTAAGTAAGATAGCAAGGACGACTATGGGAACACTTTCAACAGGACATTTAGTACCAAACTTAACTGATACTGTCAGGAATGACAGCAAAAATCAAACCTGCAGTGATATACTGCAGTTGACTCCTAGACTGTCTTTGAGCAAACTCAATAGGAAAATGACTGTGCCGTTGCAGAGCACAGAAAAAGCTCAAAGTAAATGTCAAAAAAAGCATCCTGACATTTTGACAGAACTACTTAATTGACAGTTGTATTCACTGAAATGAAAAAGTAACTGGAACAAAAAGGAATAAAGATGAAACAGTAAATGTTAGGTCAGTTCACACATAACGAAGTTAAAAACAAGTAAAGCAAGCACCACCAACCCCCCTCCCCAGCTTACCAGTCCTTAACAGGTACAAAATTACTAGCACGGCCTGGCTTGTTCTTCCCTTCTGTTTCAACATTTGTAATTGCTGCTACTAGGTAAAGAAAGTAAATTCAAAAGTTTTGCTTTCTGTTTCCCGTGGAGAAGCACAGTGCGCTCCTGCTGCTCTGCAACAGTTTATTAGAACAGCTCCAGGCTGCGCTTTATAAAGACTCTCCTCGAGGTGGAGTGGGAAATTCCCGGCCGGGGAAATCCTGGCAGGGTGGAAGAGACCCACAGCGAGCTGTGCCGCCTGGCTCTGCGCCCTCTGCTGCTCCGTCAGAGCCCAGGAAAACAACCAACACCAACACTGGGAAATACTGTGCCTACTAGACTTTCAAAGAGCAAGTCAAGATCTGATCCTGCAAACAACTGATAAAATGAAAGAATGTGGGTAATTCCAAGTAATTGAATGGCATTATATCTCAGCTGGAACAGTTACTCAAGTTTGCTTTCAGTGAAAATATTTTTGTAGGACTGAGAATACTTCCAACAATGCTCAACTCTGTAACTAATTTATTCTGATTAAGTATTCCCTTTGAAAACTGTCTTGTTTATAAAATGTGTTTATTTAGTGATTCAAAACTGACCAACTTAGAATCACAGAATTGTTTAGGCTGGAAAACAACTCTAAGATCAGGTCCAATCATTAACCTTGCACTGCCACTTTCACCACTAAACCATATCCCCACGTGACACATCCACACATTTTTTTAAACACTTTCAGAGATGGTGAATCCACCACTTCCCTGGGCAGCCTGTTCCAATGTCTGATCAACCTCGCAGGGAATAAACTTGAGGGTGCAACTTGAGGCCATTTCCTCTCATCCTGATACTCGTTACCTGGGAGCAGGGGCTGAACCTCACCTCACCAAATAAATTTCTCAGCAAGAAATTAAAAATAAAGCATATATATGTTTTTAAAATGTCTCTGGCAATTCATTCGGTATGTTATAGTTTGGTCATTTGATGTCTGTGAAATATTATCATATAGCATATTTTATAAACAGCACAGATTCAAGCGAGTCATAACTTGGAAAAATAAAGGATGAAGCAACAATGCTGTAAATGCTGTTACATCAATATGTTTTAAGGCAAGCAGATTTTACATGGTGAATAACCTAATGCTAGCTTCAAAATACTGTGTTCAGGTGAGAGTCGTAGCAGAGGATGTAAGGGTCCTGCTGGACTACAGGCAGCAAGTCTTTTTCAGGAGCTATTTCTCATTGCTTTTTACCTGACTGCAGCTGCCTATACCTTTGCATCCTCATAAAAAGATGGCTGGACTGTACAAGCTGCTACAGAAACACCCTGGGTAAAATAAGAAGCACCAACCACCTTTTTCTCACATACTCGTCATAAACTCATAAATATAAAAGCAAAGTAATGATAATAGAAAGATAAAATTGTAATCTCAGGCAGAAAGTATGTCTTCATAATAATAATTAATAATAAATGAAAAAAACAACCCAAGTAAACTCAAGAATTACCCAGAAGACAATTAAACAGAGAAATACAAAGCATCTAGTAATGTCTAACCAAAAGTCACTAAACCTAAAATTCAATGAAACTACCACAGTGGATTCTACCACAATATTTTATTATCATCATCATATTAGTGCTCTGAAAGTATTGTTATCAAATCAAAAAATCCCAGATCTACCCAGAATAGGTAACAACACATCTACAGAACGGGATTTTGCTTGACAGAAAACGGTTTTGTTGAAGAAAAGTGTACTCTCTCAGTTGAGTAACTAAATACCTTTAAATTACTGGCGGAGAGAAGCCAGAAATGAAACTCTTCTGCTTGGACTGCTAAGCTGAAGGAGAAAGGTAAAAATTTCCTTGTTTCTGGGAAATAGGTTTCTAAACAGAAAGAAATATAAACATAACAGGCCATATCCGCAGGCTGGAAAAATAGTAATCGAGTCCTTCATCAGATAACATGAAATAGGAAATTACTTGGATCCAGCTTGGTAAAAAAAACTGGACTGCTGCCATTAACTTTACTGCAATTGGAAGAACTATTATACTGAGTGGTCAGACAAATTTAACTCAGGCAGTATAGGTAAGAGCAGGGTTAGCCACAAATGTTATTAAGAGAAGTACAGATCTGCCAATAAATTAAAAAAATTCTTAAAACTTGCTCTTTACCCAGCTTCAGATGTGAGCCTTTTATGCATTATAAAAAGAACATGTACTTTACTGTTGCTCCTACCATCCTCAGCATCATCCTCCAAATAGGAAAAAATGGGTATCAAGTTTGCTTATTTTCAGAACTGGCTGTTCTGTCTGAAAACAAATAGAGATCAGCTGTCAAGTTTTAGCAGTTGACCTCAAGACTACAGATAATCTAGCTGTTTCTTCAGACAGCACAGAGGAGGATGCTGAGGATAAAAATAGAGGATGCAACTACATCCACCGTGAGAGAAGTATTATAGGATCAACTGGAAGAAATCTTGACACATGCAGAGTGTAATGAAGACTGGAATGAAACAAGCATTGCAAGAATATTACTAAGGGCAAAAAAGATTAAAAGAATTAAGCACTGGGATGTAAATATTTGTTTCCCAATACATCTAGTAATCAAAAGAGACTTTTCTCAGGCTTTGATGGATGAACAAAGATAAAACAATTGTGTCTCGGAAGGGAGTCTGGAAATATTGAACACATCATTTTTGGCCTGGCATCAAAATACACAAATGTCCTTCTGGAAACTGAAACTTACATCAGACTTTTCTGGACTGTAAGAAAAGAAACAATTTCAGAACTGTGCTAAGCATTTGCCTTAACTCATACCTTCTACAATCCTGTTAGATACCTATATCATGAACTTCAATTAGTTTCCTCTAGACAAAAGAAATAACAAGTTCTTGATACCTTATTTGAACAAAATACACATTATCCAATACATTAGTTATCCAACATGTTAGTTATCCTGCATTTTTAATGTACTGCACTGTGTCATAGGGGCTACTAGGGGAAAGCTGAAAGGCTGAACCTCATGCAGAGTTTGGGCTCTTAAAACCTTCACCACATGCCTTGTGATTTATGGTCAAGGACCTAAGGCAAAGAGGGCTAATCCTTTTGACAGAGGAAATTTAAGAAAAAGAAAAGGTAGAAGGAAACTCATCTAATTTGACATTTTGTTTCCTGTGTCAGCAATAAAATACTTCATGGCAGTTCATCCAAATACTTGCATCTACAGCAACCATTTGGGATTTCTGCTAAAAATACTCGGTGCTGGAGTAATAACTTCTATACAGGGGCTCAACACAGAAACATATGCAACATGTTTATTACTAAGGATCTCTGTGTCCCATTGGCTTGAGAGGACAGAATCCTTCTGTGGAAGGCTTGACATGCAGGTGAGAAAATGCAGCTAAGCCTGACTCAACAGTTCTTCAGCCTCACATCACAGAGGTATTACAGCAAGTTGATACTTAGGGCCCCCATTCAAACTGCAGCCCTCACAGGGCTCAGGAAAGATTTCCTTGGGATGCACACTGGATCTTTGAGGAAAGAAAGCCTCTTACAGAGTGTCTGATGGTTTCTGGAAGCAGCTGGGATGAAAAGCTGCAGGGAGTGTCTGATCCCTCTACAGTATGATCATGCCTAAAATAATAAAAGCCAAAAGATGTGCTCTAACTCAAATGAGAACTATTATTGGAGAGAAAGCATACACATAGCACGAAGGAATGCCCTTCGGGCACCGCATCCAAGGTAACACCTTAATATGGTCATATCTTAACCAAATAACTGAAAAAACACGAACCTGGAGGACATGTGTGAATGCTGCTGACTCTATGGCTAATACAGCAGATAATGATCTGACAGCCTCAAAAGTTACAGTTCCCAGCGACCTCAGTAGCCTCCTATATGGGTTGTACATTGTCTCCTTCCTCTGGCTTTTTGGTTTCCAGAGCTTCCCCAACCCTTTGCTTTCCCTGACTCCCTCCACCTGCTTTCTCATCACCTGACAATAATACAACCTCTGTATAGTCCCAAGAGGGGGAGGAGAGCATCACTGACTCCCTATAATTTTCATCTCCGGATGGGAAGGATGAGATCTACATGCCAATCTATTTAAAGGGTTGTGTCTGTTTCAGGAATTGTAACTTTGTACCTAACTACAAAAAGAACACCAACGCATTACCCTGTAACCCACATCACACCTTACAATTGTACTCTACATCTAACTTGTCA